GAGTCGTCCTTTGCGTGGGATGGCATTTACCATTTTATGTCTGTTAATCATTTTTGTTGACTAACTGCAGATGGACTCAGCCGTTCAAATCACATGCTTGGGTATACCAGGAAAATCTGGGATTCAGAAGATCAGTTTACATGGCATTTCACAACAAATCCATTACAGAAATGCCACATAAATTTTCCAGTTAAGGGAGTCTTTGGGAATTTGAAGCTTTTCTGACTGAATGTACAATTTGGCAGACCCAGCCTTGTTTGAAACCATGAAAGCCTGAGATATTTAAGTGATTCAGTGCAATTAATAAAGTCCTATTAATCTTTCTGAGTTTTGTCCAAAGCTTTTAATAACTCAGTTCTTATTTTTTCGGATCACTTTATCTTCTGTTCCTATGGGAAGTTTTCGGGCTATCGATTATAATTTGATGTGATCAAACTGAATTCTGTTTCAACTGTGGAGGGAAAAAGTTGAATTGAAACACAATGCAATCAATTTTATATGTACAAACAGCTTTAAAGAACGAAGTTATATCTTAAAATAACTATGATTCGTCATTAACCAATTTAAATGAACAGTTTTATTAAATTGGTGTCTCATACTCAAATCTCAGGAACTATGGCATTGAGTTCTCAGGGGTTTCTGTACTTGGGAGAAACTACTTGGCTTCTCTGCTCCAGAGTGAAATGTGATTGCCCCTGAAATGCTGAGTTTTCTTGCCAGAAAGGCATTCTCACATCCAGAAAAATAAAATATTCCCTATGATCAGCCATAAGCTAAATTGCTCACTTTGGAACGTTAGTTTGCTTATAAAATCTCCCTTTTTCTGCTTTACATCATAATCCAAAATTTCATTAGTTTTTCTTTGTTATCACCCTATGTTACCTCAATTCATCTCACTTCTGACCCTGGCTACCTGGAGTTACGTCACATCCCACACGTTAAGATCTCAGTCCCACAGGCTGCCCCCAATTTCACTTCAGATATCAATCACAGGTCCAGGTTGTTAAGACCCACTGGTGATAAAATCAAAGATTCCCACCTCCCCCCCCACCCACACACACTTAGGTTCCATTAATTTGCTAGAGCACCTCACAGAACTCAGGAAAACAGTTCACTTCCTAGATTACCAGTTTATTATAAAAAGATATAACCCAGAAGCAGCCAGAAAGAAGATACACGTGTGGGCAGGTAAGACGGAAAGGAACACGGAGCTTCCATGCTCTCCCTGGGTGCCGCCTTCCCAGCATCTCCACGTCTTCACAACCAGCAAGCTCTCCAGACCCTGTTGTTTAGGATTTTTATATACGATTCATTACATAGACCTGATTGATTAAATCATTGGCCAATGGTAATTGACTCAACCTACATCTCCTTTCCCGTTCTCAGAGGTCAGAGGGTGGGGCTGAAAGTTCTAACCCTCTTAGTTACAGGGTTTGTTCCCCTGGCAACCAGTCTCAATCCTTGGGTTATCGAGGAGCTTTCCCAAAATCACCTCATTAGGGTTTCCCTGGTGGCGCAGTGGTTGAGAGTCCGCCTGCCGATGCGGGGGATGCGGGATCGTGCCCCGGTCCGGGAGGGTCCCGCATGCTGTGGCCGCCGGTCCTGCACGTCCGGATCCTGTGCTCCGCAACAGGAGAGGCCACAACAGTGAGAAGCCCGCGTACCGCAAAAAAATAAAAATAAATAAAAAAACAAAAAATCACCTCATTAATATAAACTCAGATGTGGTTGAAAACAAGAGACACACATTTCACTTTTATTACTCTGGATCTATTTCAGGAACTGGAAACAAAGTTTAAGTATTATAATAAAAGATGGCTCTCTGGCTTTTGTCACTTGGTGAATTACAAGGAATGTAGGAGCTGTGTCAGGAGCCATGGACGAAGACCACAGTATGCATGTCTTATTATAAATCAAAATATCTCAGGTATCTTTCTATATTATAGTAAAAATATTACTCACTGAGTTTTTAAATCAGCTAACAAGACTTAAACATCAGGAGATAAATTAGGAGTTTGGGATTAAAATATACACATTACTATATATAAAACAGGAAACCAACAAGGGACCTACTGTATAGCCCAGGGAGCTGTACTCAATATCTTATGATAATCTATAATGAAAGAGACTGCTAAAAAAGAATATATATATATATACACACATATATATGTATGTATAATATAACTGAATCATTTTGCTGTACAACTGAAAATAACACAACATTGCAAATTTTAAATTTACATTGTAAATTGTAAACTATATTTCAATAAAAAAATTTTCAATGGAAAAAAATTAAATGAAGATTTAAACATCAGTAAATTGTACATAAATACCCTGATTTATTGCTGTCTTGGAAAATTACGATGCCAAGAATGTTGGGATGGCCTTCCTTCTTGTGGTTTTTAAGGGCACAGGTTTGTTTCAGTGCTGGGGGGCGAGGGGAGGCCTTTGGTTCTGGGGATGGTCTAGTTTTTGTGCTCAACTGGTATTGCAAAAACAAAAAGTGGCAGTCTTTGAGTAGAATCTCTGTAGGACTTTGTGATGTCTTGCTGTCATCAGTTCTCTTTTGCAGTGAGGGACTGGGGTTCTCTCTTCTCCTGCAGACATGAGATTTGAGGGCACATTTGTTGCTTTGGCATCCGAGGTGACAGGAGATTCCACTGCAGCAAGCAGGAACCGGGGCAGGGAAATGTGGGTGCTCATTAGTGGCCAAAGACACTACTGTATAGCACATTCTTGGGTGGGTTACACCTGCAGTTCCACAAACCATTGAGAGTGGCTTTTGTTTCTAACGAGAACTCCACAAAGCCCCACAAGGAACTACTCATTATGATTCATTTTTTAATTTATAGTTTGATGTAACTTGAGAAATATTGGGTACTTATGTTCAATTTTACTTTACCTCATCCATCTCTGATCAAAGGATTTCTTAAGGGCCACAAACAATTTACATTGCAAAAGAGTACCTGGTACATGGTATAAATATATTAATTATTATTATTGTCATTACTATTTTAGCATTATTCTGCATTTTTAAAAGGACGGGGTGTGTGTAAACCTTCAGTCCTCAATGTAATTCTTGTATTCAGAATGTTAACAAAAGAAAAATCGCTATAACATGGACTGTCGAGATTAAATATTAAACTTTATAATAAAAAGTTTTAGTGCTTTTTGGGTGAAGACAAGCCAATTTCAAGTCCTTATTTCTTTTGAGGTAAATTCTTACAAAGAACAGTACTGAATGCTTGAGGTTATTTAATCAACACTTACACAAATTTTGTATATTTAAGGACAGACTTTGCCAAAACCATGCTCATTAAGGTAGAGTTAGCATCATCATAGGATGAAAGAATTTGGTAGCGTTTAAAAAGTTGAGAATGCCAGTGGTATTGCTTCTGCAGACTGTTCTGCTCTTAGCGCTCTGACCCATTAAACACACTAGCAGCCTGCTGACAGACTGTCGAATAGAATTTCCTTTTCAAATTTCCATCTTAGCCAGCTAAATAATATGAAAGCTATTTGTCATGCCACATAGATCAAACACGAACTTGGAGAATAAATTACCTTTGAGGTTATTTGCAGACAAATATGATCCTGGAAAAAATGTGTATATGGAAAGATAATGCAAGTCAGTGAAAGAAATAGCTGATATCCAGAGTGAAGAACAAGTATTAAAAAGTTTTCCAAGTTGGAAAAAGTGTATAATTAAAAAAGCCTTTACTTTCCATTAACTCTCTTAAGGGCAAGAACTGTGTGGAGATACAAGTGAAGCTGCTGTTTCCTAGTCTAGCATCTGATTTTGTTGCTCACGCTTTGACAAATAAGAAGATGAGATAATTTTTTCTGCTGAGGCCAGGTGTTTCTGTTATATCTGGTTCTGATGTTTACTTAAAGAATAGAAAAATTAATATCAACCATCCATACAATTAAGGTTGTTATGAAGTACATATGTGTATGTTATGATTGCGTGGATGTGTGTGCAATTAATTCTGCAAACAGAATTTTTAAAGTTGAAACATGAGGCTTTTGCTGTGCAGATTATGAAACATTTTCCAAGAAATTATTGCAATATTTTTGTGCTTGTGTAAGGCAGAGAGTTCCTTGAATGCCAGAACAGTGTTCATTTGTCTTTGGATCTCAAGCACCAATAGAGTGGCTACCTAGTAGATGTTCAATAGATCTTCCTGATAAATAAATCCTGTGACCAGAAACTGCCAGTGAGGGACCATATGATAAGTGAATGGGTGTCATCGAAAAAATATTATAATTTGAGGTGGCACTATAATGGGGGGAAAATGGATATGAAGTAAAACATAATGAAAAGAGCAGGATTCAAGTTCTGGTCCCCATAAATTACTGCTGTATGGCCTAGAGGTGAGCATTGTGTCTTCAGTGGAAAAAAGTGGGGTGGGGAGAGGTGAGGAAGGGTTAAAAAATTAGAAGAGGATCACTGATTTTTAGGTAATTTTTTTCAGTCATTCCAAAAAAATTTTTTTTTAATTAAAAATTTTTTTAATAAAAATAAATAAAAAATAATTTAAAAAAATTAAAAATAATAAAAAAACAACAAAAACAAAAGTTCTTACTATATGTCAGGCACTGTTGTTTATAGGTGTTGGAAGGAAAGTTTCATTCTCATGGAGCTTACATTGTAGTGATCTATTATGTCATATTATGTTATACGTGAAATGTTATATTTTTCTACTTCATGCTATGTAGTATGCAGTATATTAGATAATATTGTATTGATTGATATCTTAGAAAATATGTTAAATAGTGCAATATCATAATAAGCAGTATGAAGAAAAATAAATAATCGTCAGGCAACGGTGCTGCCACTTTAGAGGAGCTTCTCAGGGAGATGACACTTGAGGAGAACATTGAATGAGGCAGGACAGGAAGTCATGGAAGAAATAGGTCTGGAGTCCTCCAAGCAGAGCAAATCTCAAATGAAAGGTCCTGAGGAACAAGTCGGGTTTATTTCTTCAGGACAAAAATAAGAAGCCCTGTGTGATTGAGGGTGGAGAGTCAGAAGAGCAGGAGAGCATGATAGAGAGCGAGGCAGAGGCCAGACTATGGAAGGGCTTTTCTAGAGTCATCAACCCATCGAGACCAGCGAAAGTAAACAGCGAAGAATGATTTTCGATGACTGAACCCTGGAGAACAGCTGAATTTGGGATTTGGGATCCAGATGAGCATACAGCTGCGGAGACTCAGGAGTGGGCGTTGAGCTGGGGAAGAATGGGGAGAACGTGCCTCTCACACAGCAAATATTTGAAGAAGGATGAGTCACCGTCTGTGCCCAATTCCCCTGCAAGACTGAGGAAGGCCAGGATTGAAACCACCCTTTGTACTCACGCCCTTCACAGGGAACAGTTTAGTGACGTGGTGGAGACAGAAGCTGCCTGCAGCTGATTTGAAAGAGAATACGAAATGAGGACTCTGGGACAGAGAAGAAAATACTCTCAGGAGAACGAGAGATGAAGAAATAGAGCTACGGAAGGATGAGCATGTAAAGGAAGAATTGTTTTCCCAGGATGGGAGATATTACACCATACTTGTAAGAAAGACAGACGGATGGGACAGATGGAGAGTGTGATGGGCAGAGTGTCTGGGAGAGCAAACACAGGTGAGCCATGGTCACAGGTACGGTGGATGCTGAGGGTGAGTGGAGAATAAGAGCCATATTGTCCGTGATCTTATCAAGTTTACAGTCTCAAGTTTCCAACCGTAATTGCTTCTGAAAGCGCTTTGCATTAAATCGAGTCGGAGCTATAACCTAATACTTTCTCGGCTCTTTTAAAGTCATACCCCATTTAAACAGCTGATAGTAGCATACCATAGAGACCAAAGACAGGGAACAGTCCCTGTTCCTCCTCTAAGTCAGTTTTTCTCACGACCAGTGGGGTATGGATAAATATTTAACCACCAACCCTCTGGAGGGAAAAACACCCTAATTTGTAGTAGAAGCTGGCTGCAGCATTCCACCGTCAGTCACAACTTCAAATTTACAATCCCTCCATGACTCTAAGCTTCCTGAAGATAAGAAATGTGTCTGATCCCCTTTCTATCTCTTTAAGCGCTAAGCACATTGATCTCTCTAATAGAGCCACACACCAAATATTTGGGGAAGGAAAGAAGAAAGGGCAGATACTCTGATCAATAGCTGAGATAAATGACATCTGTGAGCCGCTGGGCTTAGAACACACCTCCCCATTCTACCTGCCTGTCTCTTTGCCTCACATGTCTTATCTTAAATGCTGCCTTGATAGAAAGGCCTTTCTACTGATTCTATCCAAGCAGTTCCCACAGTTATTTCATAACTCTGCACTCTGTTGCTTTTTTTCATAGTACTCATAGCGATCTATCATTTTCCACAATTTATTTCCCTCCCAATTTACCCCACCATACTATAATTCCCAAACAAGACGGGGCCTTGGTTATTGTATTCCCAGTGCATAACTAGCAGTCTGAATGGTGCCTGACTCATACTACACACTTAATAAAAATATACTTTGAACAAATAAGTGATTTTACATGATTTATTAGTAAAAAGCAAGCTATTTAACGAAATGCTAATCTTATTGGTAAATTATTTTGATATCTACAATGCCATTATGATACTTCGTTTTGCATTTTTCTTATTTGTCAATTATCAGAGTGGGAAGTTAGTGTTACTAAAATGTTCATCAACTTTGTTCTCTACACAAAGATGTCATTGTCATTTGGAAACTGTAATTTTACATGGTTTTATATTCGAGAATGTTATCTATGTTCTCTCTGCTTTTCATCTAAATTTACGTACACACACTAACAGCCGTACATGTATTAAAGATGGAAGCAAATACCAGTAGAGGAAAGTTTGGACTCATCCTGCTAATAATCACGAGGGAGTATAAATTTCTATATAGAAATAAAATACCAAAGACTCCTTTCCTGTTATATCTACAGTCCTCAAGCCTGTCTTATATCATAGAGTGTTGCTTCTATGCCCTTTGCTCATGCTGTTTGCTCTGCCCTTTTCTCAGGTTGTTTGCTCTGAAACATCCTCTTCATCGCAGTCTCCACTCATCAAAATTCTATTATCCAACAAATTTCATCTCTACTGCTCTCTCTAACCATGAAGTGTTTCTCATTTTCATATATCACTCCTTAAAGAGACATTTGCTGAGACTGCTGCGTCTCTGGCACTAAGCAAGTACTAGGTGCTCAGAGATAAATAAGATACAGCCCTGCCATGCGCAGCTGACTGTGTAGCTGGGGGGTCAGACCAGCAAGCCTAGTGGGCTTCACACAGGGTCAAATGCGAGGCTCTGGTCAAGAATGAGTTGTCAGAGAATGCTTCCTAGAAAAGAGTGCCTCTCCTGAGTTACAGTCACACTAGATGGATTTCCTCTTCATTCAGGTCCAGTAGGATGTTTCTTTTCCTTATGGCATTTATAGAGTTCCTTATTTTATTATAGGGCATTTTTGTATAGTACGGATGTATAAAATATCCTTATATTTTTATATGTGTGTGTATTTATTGTCACAATCGAGTTTGTTTCTCATTCATGTCAATTAATTATTTGTCAGGTGGCCAACAAGGTGATTCAGGGACCCAGGCCCCTTCCACATATTGGCTGCTCCAAATACTCCGTTGGCTACTCTGAGTCTGGCCTGGAGATGAGGGGAGAGAGATCAACAGCAGAGAATCTCAGGGACAAGTTCAGAGGCCACGTGCAATGCTACATACATTCAATTGGCCAGAGGTAGGCACGTGGCCCTAAGTAATTTGTACCTATTACCAAACTGTGAACTTGCTAAGGCTACTAATATATAATGTAACTGCAGTACACTTCAAAATACATGTATTTACAATAACTTGAGCATTTTTTCCTCTGGAAAAGAAGTTCAGAACGTTTCATAATATACTTTTCAGTAATGTACCTGTGCACCATTTAATCTACACACCTTCAGTACCTTCCATGCTGGGGAGTGAGGCGTCCAAGAGGCATTTCTTCCTTGGGTTAAATGTGCAGCCAGGCCCAGCGCTAGCTATGGTCACCAGAAGGCTTCCTGTTGAACATAACTCTTTCTGTCTGCTGGTTTGTAAACAAAATTCAGCATTGTGAAGTGAGATTTTTTTTCCAGAATTTTATGGCATGTGGTATTTTTCAAAGCGTTCATCCAAAAGAAACCTAGCTAAAAACTACCTATGATAATACCACCATGTCTCCCAGCTTTTGCCTTTAAAATCAAATGCATTTGTGTTACCATGCCCCCCTAGGTAGAAACTGTCCCCGGGTACATTCCAGTAATACAGAGAAGGCCAGTGACAGCTGAAGGACTATTTTTTCCTAAACAACTGTGTAAATTGAGAATGGGCATAACCTCTAAACAGTGGGTAACCATATTATTTATCATCTTGTAAGACTATGTAAATTAACATCCAGTCAGCTTATCAGCACAGTCAGCAGGAATTACACATTGTGAATTTGATAAATATGGAACAGACGTGAGGTGGAGAAGATCAAAGTGTGCAATTAAAATAATAACAGAGAATCATTTGTAGCTCTAATCCAGGAAACTTCACATATTCATTAGGCAAGGTGGTTTAGTGGAAGAAATAGGTGTGAGAGTACATAGCATTCTGTTCCATTCAACTGTTTATAACCTGTGATCCTAAGGAAATCATTTAATTAATTCTCATCTAGACAGAGGTTTAAAACACGTACTGTAATCATTAATTATAAGGATGTAAATTAACCTGCAACAGTACCTGATACAGGGAAGCCTCTTGAAGGAGATATAGTCCATCCTAACTAATTTTATTTATTTATTTATTTATTTTTATACATCTTTATTGGAGTATAATTGTTTTACAGTGTTCTGTTAGCTTCTGCTATACAACAAAGTGAATCAAAGCATACACGCATACACACACGCACACAAATGCAGACATTTTTGAAGAAAAAATAAATATCTCCTATGAACTCCAATACCAAAGAATAACCATTATAAGATTTTGTTGTATTTGGCATATATTGTATGTATGTATGCATCTCAATATTTTATAAGTGGCAATATTTCAAAATATATTTTAAATAAATGTAGGCATCATATAGTTCTGTATGCTTATTTTTTAACTTAACATTAAGAATTTTCCAACTTTTCAAACATGATTTAGTTGAAAACAAAACTTAGAGCACATCAAATAAAGTTGTCAGCCACAAATACTGAATTAACATAGCAAATATAAAACTAAAGGAAAAATATGCATGAACATACAAGATCAGAGGGACTCAGGACAGGAAGAAGAAATAATATTCGAAACATTTAAAAACGTGAATGGCATGGGGCACTGTATCTTTCAGAATCCACGTCAACCATGGAGCTGTGGGCTAGGTATTACGCCGTTATTTGCTCAATTTTGGGGCCGTCCACGGGGTCCTGGAGGAAAGGATGAGTTAGGGGGGAAATGAAGGGCTCTCGGGGCAGTGGCTGTCCACAAACAAGTACGGAAGCATCAGGGAGGGGGAAATTTCCCCCTACCTTTCTTGAGTTCTTTTGGCTGGTGTAATAATTAATTTGACACAAGACAGATCAAAAGGCGAAAAAAATTTAATTTGCTCACATGGAGGTCTCAGAGAAATAAGACCCCAAAAGCGGCCAAAGCAGGCAGCTTTTATACTTTTTAGATGAAAAAACAAAAAATATGTGAGGAATTGACTGGACAAAGAAACTTAGGGTCCTTAATTAATAAAGACTCTAAACAAGAGTTTGGGCTTGGAATAGTAAATTAGTAAAGAAGTAACAAAGTATGTTCACGTAGGCTTCTTGGCCCCAAGTTCCCTATCTCTGGCAACAAGGGTCTGGGAGATTTGTTTCCTGCTTTCAGGGACACAGCAAGGAGGGTCAAAGTGTCCCTCTTGTATTGGCTGTTTCTTAAGTAATCTTAATTCAAAATAATCAATATACTGCTTTTGCATGTTTTGGGCTGGCCTGCCCTAAGCCCCAACAGAAGTAATTAAATATTTTGACAGCAGAAGGCAGAACAGTAGACCCAGCATGGTCTCATCCACGGCAGGAGCCAGGCAATCTAGGGGAACCTTATGAGCAGAAACTGCTCAAGTTCCTGTCTAAGGACCTGCAATGAAGTGAATAAACTATGACTATCTCATTCTTCTTTCCATCGATCTGAAAATATTCAAATTTGATAGAAAGACTCCATTGGCCTAGCTTGGGTCAAATGTCTATCCTGTGACTAAGAGAGTACAGAGCACCCAATCTCTTACGGGGAGAGATTTGGGGAAGTATAATTACCAAAACAAGACGGAATGAATATTGTCATTTGTGTGATATAATGGTTCATTTAATTACTCCCCATTGTTGGACAATTAAGATGTTTCTAATTTTTGTTATTGTATATAACACAGTATACCATATTTTATATATATAATACTAATACATATTATATATGTGTACATATATAATATGTATTAGTATTATATATAATTCTATAGCATCTTTACTCCCTTCTCTGATTTTTTAAATTATTTTCCTAGGAGAATATTACTAGATTAAACAGATATGAACATCATTAAGCTTTTCAGACATAATGGGAAATTGCTTTTCACAAAGATGGTACCAATTTATATCCTGATGAGCAATGATCAAAAATGCTCTCAAGGGCACCTTGATACTACATTTAACAAATATTTTTTCGTGGTTGCAATGGGCCGGTAACCATTACAGTCTCCAGATAGACAGTGATAAACAGATGTCTCTGCTAATGTAGAGCTTAAATTATAAATGCAGAAGAGTATTTCAGAACTGAGGAATCCTATGAAGAAAATTAATCAGGGGAAGAAAATTAAAAGGTATTGTCATGTGAGTGTGGAGAACATTAGAAAAAGTGGCCAGGAAGGCCCCTCTGAGGAGGTGACATTTAAGCTGAATTCTGAACGATAAGAAAGTTCTGTCACATAAGATCAATGGGAAGAGCTTTCTAGGCTGGGGGAAGGGCAAGTACAAATGACCTGATGCAGGAAGGATTTTCCTATATTTAATGAAGGAAATAAAGGCAGTGTTGCTGGAGGTGAATGAAAAGCAGGATGAGAGAGGACCAGATAATGCAGCAGCTTCTATGCCCAAGGAAGAAGTTTAGATTGCATTTAGTTGTTGAAATATTTTAAACAAGACATGGACATTTTGTTAGTTTGCTAAGGCTGCCATTACAAAGCACCACAAACTGCATGGCTTAAGCAACAGAAATTTAATTCCTCACAGTTCTGGAGGCTAGAAGTCCAAATCAAAGTGTTGGCAGGGTTGATTTCTTCTGAGGGTCTCTCTCCTTGACTTGTAGATGACTATCTTTTTTGAACATCTTCTCATGGTCTTTCCTCTGTGCCTGTCCATGTCTTAATCTCCTCTTGTAAAGATACCAGTTGTACTGAACCGTACGACCTTATTTAACCTTAAATACTTCTTTAAAAGTCCTACCTCCAATACAGACACGTTCTGAGGTCCTGAAGGTTAGGACTTCAGCATGAATTTGGGGTGACATAATTCAACCCGTAACAGATGTGACCTGATTCCCAATTAAAAAAAACCCAAAACTTCTCTACTTGCGTTGTGGAAAACTGATTGTAGAGAAACAGGAGTGGAAACAAGAAGATGAGTTAGAGGTGTTCACCGTAATTCAGGTAAAGGATGATAGAGACTAAAACAAAGGCTGTGGCAGGAAATGAAAACTATTAAATAGGTTTGGGATATATGTAGAGACAATAGAACCAGCAACTCTTCTCAGTAATATAGTAACCTTCAGTACCAAATAGCCTCACGTAGAGAGAGTTAAATACAAGAGAACTTTATTTCTCACTCATGTACCAATAAGTATGTATCTGGTGAAGTATTTTCCAAAGCATGTTCTGTGGAATCTAATTAACGGAATCCTAAAAAAAAAGATTCTCTGATCCCTTAGGTTGAAAAATGCTGGTTTAAACAAGACAGTCTGATCTATTTACTGACACCTCTTGGAATCTTCAATTACTTTAAAATACAGCACCAAGAAAAGGCTACCTTTCCCAAAATTATTGAGCAAGTAGTCTCCTTTGTTTAAGAAAACAGCGTGTGAGACTTGTGCACCAAAGAATGGCAATTTGGGAAGCAGTTGTCTATCTCTAATTAAGTATGAATCTGGCTATTACTTTAAGATACTTTTTATTATACTAGGTATGGAGCTTTCTATTCCTACTTTAGCTAGTTTTGTTTTTTTTAATAATGAACTGGCATTACGTTTAATCACAAAACACATAAAAAACTATTGCTATTATCCTGTATCTATTCTTCTCTAATCTATTGATAATGATATACTATACTAATAAATTTTGTAATATACCATCCTTTAACTCCTGGAATAAATTCTATTTTATTAGAGTGAATACTTCTTTCTAAGAACTGTAGAAATATACCTATTATTTATCTAGAATTGATGTATCACACAAGTGTAATTGCTCTGTAATTTTTTTGTGCTATTGTCAGCTTTTAGTATCATGATAATGCTGATTCACGAATGATTGATTGAAGCGATGGCTGTGCATTGTTTTTAATCATTTGGAACAGTTTATTATATTTAATTATTTTTTATTTATTTATTTATTTTTTGCGGTACGCGGGCCTCTCACTGTTGCGGCTTCTCCCGTTGCGGAGCACAGACTCCGGACTCGCAGGCTCAGCGGCCGTGGCTCACGGGCCCAGCCGCTCCGCG